GAATTTACGTAATAAACCAGTCAACGCACTCTGAATGCAAATTCTTTTCCCAACATCCTCTCACAGAAAAGGAAGAACAAATGCAGCAGCTGGCTTCCACTCAATACTGGTTCTAAAACAGAGAAGTTGCTCTTTAGATCTTCTGCTCACCAACTGATAAACTCTATGATATAAAGCTCCATTAGGTAAGATATTTTTTATTAATTGTACAATTATTGTGACCTTTAGGGTAAAACGGTTAGTTATACATTATACGTTTGCAATTTTAGTGTAAATTACTTGCAATTTCAGTTTTACTACCTCTGGAAAAGTGCAAAATGACTGAAAAGATTAGAATATGTAACTTGAAGTAACGGCCAAAGACACTAAAGCTGTATCCAATTGTGACTTTGTTTAAAAAAATAAAACTCTTTTTTTTTTTTTTTTTATCTTTTCCAGTCTATTAAATGAAGGATCGTCTTAATCTGATGGCAGCTCTGTCTGAGAACATGCTGATAGTAAACATGTTACTGGGTGTCTTCTTTCTTCCAGGTGAGCTTTGTTCACTTTCTTTAATTTATATATAAACAAAACTTGAAACATTTATTGTCTGAAATATTAGATGCTGACATAATTTAAAGGCTCCACATGTAACATGAAGTATCTGAATTGTTTATGGATCATGAAGTTTATCTGCTGACAGATTTTGCTTCACATCATGTTCATCATTTGTTTGTTTTTACAGGTACTTTGGCTAATTGTGGTAAAAACCCAGACCTCAGAATCACTACACCAAATAAGATTGAAGCTCTGAGTGGATCTTGTTTGGAAATCCCATGTATCTATGATACAGAGGATCCCAGATATGACAGCAGCAGAACTATCTATGGAGTTTGGATGAAAGGTGGTCACAATTTTGGCCCTAATCCAAATATCGTTATTTTCAACAGCAGTGGGTCAGTTAACAACTATTCACTGAGTCTTACTGGAAACCTGAGAGAGAAAAACTGCACCACTCTGTTTCCTGATTTAAAGACCAATTATTCAGACGAATACTTCTTCAGGATTCAGAACGAGCCGTTCAAAGCATCAGCTTGTAATGATCCTCTCATTATCACAGTTAAAGGTACAAGAGTTTTCTTAAGATATTATTATGAAAATAGTTATTTTAATTATGAATGTTTAAAATGTACAAATAAAAAAAATTATCTCACTAAAGACTTTCAGAGCTTTAAAAGATTTCACAAAAAAACATTTTTGAGGCATCTGGATAATGTAATGATTTTTTACAATTTTTTTTACCAGCAAATTAATAATATGAATATTATAAAATGTTATGTCATNAGCAAAAAATACCTGTCATGAAAAATCTTAAAACTGTTACTAGGCAGACCTCAGCAAGTGAATTTACGTAATAAACCAGTCAACGCACTCTGAATGCAAATTTTTTCCCAACATCCTCTCACAGAAAAGGAAGAACAAATGCGGCAGCTGGCTTCCACACCATACTGGTTCTAAAACAGAGAAACAGAGAAGTTGCTCTTTAGATCTTCAGCTCACCAACTGATACACTCCATGATATAAAGCTCCATTAGGTAAGATGTTGTTTATTAATTGTACATTTATTGTGACCTTTAGGGTAAAACGGTTAGTTATACGTTATAGGTTTGCGATTAAAGTGTGAATTATTGTCCTGATCATTTTACTTGCAATTTCAGTTTTACTACCTCTGGAAAAGTGCAAAATGACTGAAAATATTAGAATATGTAACTCGAAGTAACGGCCAAAGACACTAAAGCTGTATCCAATTGTAACTCTGTTTAAAAATGAAGTTTTTTTTTTTCTGAAATGTTTTCCAGTCTATGAAATGAAGGATCGTCTAAATCTGATGGCAGCTCTGTCTGAGAACATGCTGATAGTTAACATGTTAGTGGGTGTCTTCTTTCTTCCAGGTGAGCTTTGTTCACTTTCTTTAATTTATATATAAACAAAACTTGAAACATTTATTGTCTGAAATATTAGATGCTGACATAATTTAAAGGCTCCACATGTAACATGAAGTATCTGAATTGTTCATGGATCATGAAGTTTATCTGCTGACAGATTTTGCTCCACATCATGTTCATCATTTGTTTGTTTTTACAGGTACTTTGGCTAAATGTGATAGAAAACCAGACCTCAGAATCACTACACCAAAGAAGATTGAAGCTCTGAGTGGATCTTGTTTGGAAATCCCATGTATCTATGATACAGAGCATACCAGCTATGACAGCAGCAGAACTATCTATGGAGTTTGGATGAAAGGTGGTCACAATTTTGTCAAACATCCAAATATCGTTATTTTCAATAGCAGTGGGTCAGTTAACAACTATTCACTGAATATTACTGGAAACCTGAGAGAGAAAAACTGCACCACTCTGTTTCCTGATGTAAAGACCAGTTATACAGACGAATACTTCTTCAGGATTGAGAACGAGCCGTTCAAAGCATCAGCTTGTGATGATCCTCTCATTATAACAGTTAAAGGTACAAGAGATTTCTTAACATATTATTATAAAAAAGGTTATTTTAATTATGAATATTTAAAATGTACAATAAAAAAAAAACAATCTCCCTAAACACTTTCAAAGCT